TAAGATTACTCACTCACTCGCTCAAGCCATACGCCGTCCTGCGCGTGGGCGGGAAAACAAGCGCAGCACAGCTTGAATTGTAAGGAAGAGGAAAACGGGGCGAAAACGGGACGAGACGGGAGAAGACAGAAACAATGTGAATGACACCGAATTAATTGATATGTGGGAGTGCCTGCCAGGGCTCGCACGCATGAGAACTCGTTGATGTTATTCTCGAGGAACTCCCCCAACCGACGCTCATCTTGTACGCAAGCACACAACATCTCGTTGGACCGAAAAAAAACCGTGAACTTTCTGATATAAACGCGTGGCCCAAGCGCTCCTCGGCCGGCCTCTCCTCCTGTGGAGTTGCGCCGCAGCAGGCAACATTGTCCCCAGTTGCATGGCCAGCTCCCTCAGAATGCCGTGGTCGTCGGCCCTCCCCAACTTCCCATACCATGTAGGTTGGTGTCTCAACCGCTGCGCGCTGTATGCACGCGGCCAGGCCGGCTGCCTCGAGGACGCTCTTGCTCGAGACGCGCGAAGAATATGCCGGGGCGGTGTTCAGGATCCCTCTGAGGCATCCTGCTTGGAAACCATCGAAGCGCCGCCTCTCTGATGTATTCAGTCACGCAGAACCCAAATTATATTCATCATCTTGCTCGTTACCATCGCTTGAAGAATGTCGAGCTTCCTTGATCTAGAGATTGACGTGTGCTTCCATGCTCTTTCAAGTCTGGAAGACCCCCCAAACGACTCCTATGCGCCGGATGAGTTCGCCACGAAGGCGGTCAGAATTAGAAAGAGTTGCTCCTGACGGGGTCCGAATGTCAACGTCGCAATTGATTCCCAGCAGCTTGAGCTTGTCCCAGTATAGCTCCATGCCCACCCGGGCTCCTGCTGCTGCTAATTCATCCAGAAGTCGTTGTATATGGGACTGATGGCTCCCAATCAGAAGTGTGTCATCGGCGTAATGCAATACTGACAAAACACCTGTATCATGCGCCTCCCTCCTCATATCGTCCAAGTGGTTGATGGCGCCTTCCAGTAGTACCGACATCACCATGACGAAAAGATAAGACGACAATGGGCACCCCTGCGAAATTCCAGACAGTTGCCGCTTTTCCGGAGAATGTCGTCAATTATCGGCCACGTAGAGTCTCCAGCGCTTGTAAATGCTGTTGATGACTGACAGCATCCGTCCAGATACGCCGAATGTCTGAAGAGCTTCGCCCATCATCGCTTCAACGTTGAGGGAGTCGAAAGCCTTCTTCCAGTCGAGGGCGACCATCGCGATGGCCCCGTCCCTCTCGGCATTGGCACGGTCGATGAACCTCTTGACGGCGTGAATAACATCTGTCGTGCCTCTCCCCCGCCGGAAGCCGAAGTGCGTTCGAGTCAGTCGCTCGTCGGCGCCAGCGGCCTGCAGTCGGCCCAACAAGAGGCTCGCAAACAGTTTGTATGCAACGCATACCGAGCTGATCGGCCGATGGTTGTCGCACTGGTCAACTGCTCCCTTGCCTTTGTAGATGGTGCTAATTGCCGCCAGCTGCCACTGCTTCGGAATCTCTTCAGACTCTGAACATGCGTTGCACAGCGCTGTGAGCCATTCTAACCCACCCGGCGTTGTCGAAACAGCCTTCCAGTATTCCGCCGGGACGTTGTCCAGCCCAGAAGCTTTGTTCCACTTCAGTTTGCTCACAGCTTGCCATTTTCTTGGTTTGTGAACGGAGCTTCGGACACTGGCAGTCCAGGTCCCAGGGGAGCGCTGTCCATCGCCTCTGCAAAGCGCACTCTCCATTGCACTTGTTCCAAGAAAGTTGCCATGGCGTCAGCGCGCCCCTCGCTGCCCACCAGTCTGCCATCCAAATTTCGCAGCCTTCCTTGTCGGTTCGGCTTTGGGCGACAATATCCGTAAGGGCTTCGCCCCATGCCGCCGACCCCCTGTCTCGGATCTCGGATAATGGGAGATGCAAAAGCTAAATCATGAGGTCTGGGCGCCGCCGTGAAGCGGTGTCGGGACCTGTTTGTTTTTCGTTCCTGGCCCTACGGATCTGCGTCACGGGTGCCACCGAATTTCAGAAATGTAGCAAATCCCTTGTGTTTTTAGACCCTGACCTTACGGATCTGCATGAGGGGTGCCGCCGGATTTAATACATGCGGCAAATCCTCTGTGTTGTTGGACCCTGACCCTGCCGATCTGCGTGAGGGGTGTCAGGAAATTTTAGAACAGTTGAGAATCCCTTGGTTTTTCGGACCCTGACCCCGCCGATCTGAGTGAGGAGTGCCTCCGAATTTTGGAAATGTGGAAAATCCTTTTTGTTTTTGGACCCTGACCCCGCCGATCTGCGTAAGGGTGCCACCGAATTTCAGACATGTGGCAAATCCTCTGTGTTTTTGGACCCTGACCCCGCCGATCTGAGTGAGGAGTGCCACCGAATTTTGGAAATGTGGCAAATCCTTTTTGTTTTTGGACCCTGACCCCGCCGGTCTGAGTGAGGGGTGCCACCGAATGTCAGAAACGTAGCAAACCCCTTGTGTTTTTGGACCCTGACCCCGCCGGTCTGAGTGAGGGGTGCCACCGAATGTCAGAAATGTAGCAAACCCCTTGTGTTTTTGGACCCTGACCCCGCCGATCTGCGTGAGGGGTGCCACCGAATTTCAGAAATGTCCCAAATCCCATGTGTTTTTGGACCCTGACCCCGCCGATCTGCGTGAGGGGTGCCACCGAATTTCAGACATGTGGCAAATCCTATGTGTTTTTGGACCCTGACCCCGCCGATCTGCGTGAGGGTGTAAATTTTTACCCACCCCAGCAATTCAGAGCACACGCTCAGGGCGTGCTAAACCTGCCCGTTTGGGCCTCCCCACCTCGCGCGGTCCATCAACAAGGAACAGTAAGCCGCAAGAAGCATAACTGTAACAGTGGAAACTGGAAGCTGCAACTGGTGCAGGAAACTGCGAACCTTCGGCCTACAGCCTGGTAGCCCCACAAGGGGGCCGGCGGATTTCCGGGGGCCGCTCGAGATTTTCTCGTCGAGTCAGGCAGTTTTGTCGGTCTTCGCAGATCGCCGAACCTCCTTCATTAAGATCCTCTCTCCGTGCTTGTCATTGTTCGCTCGTGCCCTGTTTCTCCGTGCAGTGAGGTCCAAAGTGCGTTGAGATATCCACGGCTTCTGAATCTCTGGAGGGCGTTGTGGCAGGATCCCCGCCGCGTCCAGAGCTGCTCGCTTCCCGCGTTGCCGGTAATTCGTCAACCGTCGAGGCTGGTGTGCGAAACGAATTGACACAGGCCTCGGAGCAAATTAGCGAACACATGCCACATTCATCCGTGAACGCCTCTCCCTCCCCCCCTCAAAGTTGGCGGTGGGTCTGATGAGATGCACTTCGACCGCAGTCTCCCCCGCGCGTGCCAACGTTGAGTTTGGGGGGAGGGGGAGTGTTCAGTAATTGTTTCCCTCTACCGCAGCTCCCAGAAAAGCGTCCGTAAATATCTTCTGTGTCTCTGGATCTCGTAGAGCGTCTGTCGGTTTTTGGCGGCTCGTCCTCGTGGCGGCCCGCGGAGAGCGAGCCCCGAGTGAGAGCACGCAACAAGGTGGTGGTCTGTGCCCAGCGCTGGTCCCCTGTGACTCTTCACCTAAGTGCAGGGAATGGAGCATCGCGTTGCTGCAGCGGACAAAACATCCAAGACGTCGCCGTCAGGGAGAGCTCCAGCCTCCATGAACGTGATCTTCTCGTGGAGAGGTCTGTCGAAGTACAGTCGGGCCGCTGCAGAAGGAACTCTTTTGCTGGGGAGGGGCTCAGTGTTCCTTAATTGGTTTAGCAGTTTGTCTTCGGCCTTCTTAAACAGGTTCTATGGGAGACCGAAGCTCAACTTATGGAAAAAAGGGCCCTCGTTCCTTTTTTTAGGGTCCCTTGTGACATTGGCCCGACTGTATGCGTGAGCTTCTTTCAGAGGTCGCCCCGTGCGCGTGTCCACGAGCAGCTCACGACTCGGGCCGTCGACCTCATGGAGGGCTCGCCGGCCCCGCGTGTGTGCTCCCCGGTCGCGCAGGCCTCGCCGGCGTCCGCGTGCCCACGCCTGGCAGTGACGTCGCTGACGACGATCTTCCACGGTTGGCAGAGCAGGTGCGGTGTTCTGCGCCCAAGGGCCAAGGGATTGTAGACAGCCCTACAGTGGGGGCGCGCATCAAGAAACCATATGCTTTTCGCCAGGGTATCCTGGGTGTCTTCGCTCCTCGCGCTGCGCGGTGACTTCCCGCAGCCGTTGAAGGAGCTGCTGCGTTCAGGGTGCTCCAGGTTTCCCCTCGGGGGCACCTCGCGCACGGGTTCCCAGGGTTGGGTGAGGGTTTCTTGCGGCCGCGCCCGCACTGTACGCTCCTGCAGCGGTCTCGCGTTGTGCGGCGCGTCACAGCAAAGGCTATCGAATGAGCCGGCACAGACCTTCAGTTTCAGAAGTGCAGGTTTCTCTGACATTTGTCTGTAAAGACCGTATTGTTTGTTTGCCAATGCGACGATCTTGTCTGTTTTTTGGCGCCTGTTTCGAGCGGGTGGAGTCTCCCCCAGAGGCCGCTTTGTTGCAACCAGTCGCACTAAGCAGAGGTCTGGAGTCAACCTCCCCCCTTCCCCCCCCCTTGCCGCCCAATGTCGAAACGCCGAATGAAAAACAAACGCTCACGAAGTGGGGAACGCTGTTAGAAGAGTTGGCTCGCTTGCGCAGCGTGCCGTTCTGAAGTTCCAAGCAAGGCCCCCGGCAGGCACGCGGCGGGCGGTCGGGGCCCAGAATGGCTATAACTAGGGGAGGCCGCGGAGGCCGTGGACGAGGAGGAGGAAGAGGAGGAGGAGGAGGAGGAAGAGGGGGAGGAAGAGAGGGAGGAAGAGGAGGATGAGTAGGAGGATGAGCAGGAGGAGGAGCAGGAGGAGGAGGAGTAGGATGAGGATGAGGAGGAGGAGGATGAGGAGGAGGAGGAGGAGGAGGAGGACTGAGAGTTACCCGTGGCCGCCTGTCAGCGCCTGCTGAGGCAAATTGGCTGAGTTCGCGGACAAAGTCGTGGCCACCGACGTGTCCCCGTATCCAGGGTGCTTTCGGTTGCCGCTCGGAAGAAATCAGGGGGAGCGAGAGGGGGAAAGAGATAGGGGAAGGGAGAGAGGGAACACTATGTATGTAGGCATTCATGAATGCATGCCCGTATGCGTGTATGTTACGCATTTGTGTGTACGCATATCTATACACACGGTGCATGTCTATACACATATGTTCAAGCACACACACACATATACATTAGTTTACGCATGCATGTACATCGCTTTGCACAGACAGCGCCCCGCGTCTCCTTCCCTTCTCTCCCTCTCTCCCTCCTCCCTCCTCCCTCTTCGTTGTCATTTCGGCACACTCTCCTATGTTTCGTGGCCCCATAAGGAACTGCACCGAAGGAGCCCCAGCGGGTCGTACTGGCTGCCCTGCGCCCATCTTGGCACACTGCTCACAGGTTTCATGGCTTGTGCTGCTGGTGCTGCTGCTGCTGCTGCTGGTGGTGCTGATGCTGCTGGTGCTGCTGCTGGTGGTGCTGCTGCTGGTGGTGCTGCAGGTGCTGCTGCTGCTGCTGCTGCTTCTGATGCTTCTGCTGCTGCTGGTGCTGGCGGTGGTGGTGCTGCTGCTGCCCGCTCCCTCCCCCGCTCCCCCCCCTGGTCTTCTCCCTTCTCGCTGCTGCTGCTGCTGCTGCTGCTCACTCACACTCACACGGCTTTCAAGGAGCTCCAATGCGAATGCCTCACTTCAAGCCATCAAAGGACTGCTTGCGCCCGCCTCACTCATGGCGTTCAGGAAGATCTGCGCTACAACATAGCACTTCACGGTGGCGCCCGCGGCTCCCGCGCAACCCCCCGGTTCCGGGAGGAGCGGCAGGGATCGGCCGCGCGTGCGCCCCAACAGCGTGCCGCCGAGCGGGCGTCGGTGCCGACACGTCTGGCAGCGGCGACGCAGGGGCAGACCGGAGCCGGCGCTGCACCCGCCCGTCGGGGGAGGGCGAGGGGGAGGGCAGGGAGGGGAGGGCGGAGGGGGAGGGGGAAGGGGAACTACGCTATCGCAGCGGTCGCCGCTGAGAAGAGCTCGCTTCTGCTCGCCACACGCCAGCAGCGACGAGGGCGGACAGTGGGACGCCGGCAGGAGGGGGGGGGGGACGAGGGGCGAGAGGAGCGGGAGAGGCCACGGAGCCGGGAGAAGGGGAGAGCACGCAACAGCAGAAGCTGCGGAAGGGAGGCGAGGCCAGGAGAGGAACGCGAGCAGCGGAGGGGGGTGTGGCATGGTGTCAAAAAAGCGTTGTCATTGTCCTGTGCGCCTCTACTATGATCAGATCTTCAGCTCGTCGACAAGAGCCTGGATGCGCCCCTCCAAGGAGCCGCGCGGGGCCTGTCCGACGAGCTGCCCTGCTTTTTTACAGAAGGTCGACCATGAAATTCTCGAGCCGCCCCCTGGATCTCCGGTCAAGGGGAAGGCCGAGTGGTTCCGGAAACGCACGTACAGCTTCATCCCCTTGGCCTCGTGGTCGTAGGCTTTCTGCACTTTGGGGGCTTGGGCGCGTCCCAAACAGTTTCCGAAACGTTCCAAGATGTGCCCCAGACGTTCCAAACAGGCCTGGAGTAGCCGACAATTTTCTCCCAGACGCCCTTGACGGCCTCCAGGTGGTCAGGCCCCTAAAACGCTTCACGAGAGCTTCCACGGCCCAAAACGCCCTTGAGAGGACCCAAAAGGCACCCCAGGAGGCACCCCAAGAGGGCCCTGGGGGGCAAACATTGTTGCTTTTGCTGTGGGTTCTTGCTGATTTTTAGTGTTTCTGCCTCTGCTGCTTCCCGGCGCTCCTAGATTACAGAGGCCCCAGAAATCGTCCCGAGACGGCCTCAGAGCCTCCAAAGTGGGCGCCCAGACGGCCCAAGAGGCTCCCAAAACGGCCTAAGAGATTTCCAAGACGGCCCAAGAATGTTTCAGAAACCGCCCAAGATCAGTCCCAGAGGAGGAGCATGACACAAAATTTAGATTTTCCGCGCGCCGGGACCCCCAGGAGATCCAAACAGTCCAAACAGGCCCCCAAGAGACTTGTCAAAAGGCTTGAGAGGGCCCCAAACGCCCCCGAGACGCTCCAAGAGGGTTCCACGAGGCACCCAAAGAGGGCCCCAAGGAGCAAATATCAATGGTTTTTGATACTTTTTGGCGTTTTCGTCTTTTCCGTTTCACAGCGCTCCAATGTTCTTGCAGAGGCCAAGAGAATCGTGCCGATACGGCCTCGGAGGCCTCCCGGTGTGCGCCCAGACTGCCCAAGAGACGTCCGAAACGGCAGGAACCGCCCCAAGTCGGCCCCAGATGGGGGAGCACGAACCAACACGTCGACCTTTCCGCACACCGGGTCCCCCAGGATGCCCGAACAGGCCCTCAAAGCGAGGTCCCAAGAGGCCTCAAGAAGCCGCAAGAGGCCTTCCAAGAGACCCCCAGACTCCCGCAGCAGCTCCGGAGGGTCCCACAGCTCGAGAGCGCCTCGAGGGCGGCCCAGACGGCTGCCAGACGGCCGGAGAGGCCTCCAAGACGCCCCGAGAGGGTCCCCAGAGCACTCCAAGACGCTCCAGGATGGCCCCAAGACTTGCCAAGCAGCCCCAGGAAGGCTCCAAGAGGCACCTCAACAGGGCACCAGGCAGCCAAAATCGTTCCTGTCCTTCTGAAGGACGTATTTTTTAGCACGCTCGTTTCTTGGATCTTCACAGCCTCCACGACGGCCCAAGAGGCGCCCGAGGGTGCCAAGACAGGCCCAGAGGCCCCCAAGACCCCCGAGAGAGATCCGAGAAGCCCCCCCCCCAGAGAGCCCCAGGAGGCCCAAATTGTTCCATTCCCATTGGAAAGCGTGCATTTTCAGCGTATTCGCTTTTCCGGTTTTCGCAGCGTCGAACGCCCAGGCGCCCAATGGCCACAAGACGGGCCCCATGACGGCCCAAAAGGGCCCTGATCCAGCCCACAGAACCTCCAAGACAACCCAAGAGAGCGCCAAGGGGGCCCAGAGGGAGCCCCAAGAGAGCCCCGAGAGAGTGCCAAGCAGGGTCGTGGGGTAATAGCTTGGGGGAGTGCAGCTGCCAACCTGCCCCCAAGACCCTCCAGGAAGCCTGCTTGACGATTCCGAGAGGCCCCCAGAGGACCCGAGAAGCCACAAGGATGCCCAACCACGAGCGTCGCAGAGAGTCTTCCGCCCCAGGGGGAGCCGCGAGGCCTACAGCGCGCCGTCAAGCGGCGCCCAAGGGCCCCCCCGAGCACCTTCTTGAGGCCCCGCGAGGCTGGAAATTCCACCCCAGTAGCCCAAAGGGGCTGTCGATCGGCGTCGTCGACGTCGCCGTCGTTGTCGTCATCGTCGTTGGGCGCCTGGCCGCCGAATGTTCCTGCGAGTTCCTGGTCAGGCTTCTGGGGGCGTTCTGGAGTGATTTTGAGCTCCTCTTGGGGTCCTCTGCGGGTTCTGGAGCTCTCTTGCGACGTCTGGGCCCCCCGTCGGAGAACGTTTTGGGGCCTCGGGGGATTATGTACCGCCATTGCCTTGGTTGGTACATACTTTCTGGGTCTTCTTGGGATGCGCGGAGGCGCGCTTTTGCGCCCGTCTTGAAGTCCTCTGCAGCTTCCACGGCCCTCTTGGGCCGCTCTTGGTTCCCGCGTGTTCCGGGCCTCCAGGACTGACGTACCAACGCACCCTTCGCTGGTACATTTTTTCTTGTGGGTTCTTGGGGTGCGTTCTGAGGCGCTTCGGGGCCCCTGAGTTGGGATCCTCTGCGGCTCTTGGGGCTCTCTGTGAGCGCTGTTGGCCCCGTCTCCGAGGTGTCCAGTGCAGGACTGGAAAACGACCACAGCCACTGCTTCTTCTTTGCGCCACCTTCCAGCCGGCCGAAAAAGAAGCAGTGGCTGTGGTCATTTCCCTGGTGCCAAGCTTAACGAAAATGACCACAACCACTGCTTTGATTCTGCTGGCTGGAAGGCGGCAACAAAAGAAAAGCAGTGGCTGTGGTCGTTTTCACGCCCCGTATCCAGGGCCTCGGGCAATGATGCACAAGTGGACTCTGCGCTGCTGCGTGCCTGCTGGGGTTCGATGCCAGCCGCCGTGGAGCGCCGTGGTGCCCCCTCCTTGTGGAACTCTGCGACCTCACGGGCCCGTGCGGCATGTTGTTGAGCGCCGAGGAGGCGTCGGGAGCTTCGGGGAATGCTGTAACGTTCGACCGTCGTGCTCGCAGGTTGGCCCCCGTTCTGGAGGCCAGTCTCTGGACCTCGCATCGGCTCTTCAGGGCATCACCCGCTCGAAAAAGAGCTGCCACGCCAATGCTGTGCTCATGCTCCGCGCGCTCCTCCTGTATCTCCTGCCACTTTGGGACCTCAGTCGGCATGCGCCTCGCGAGGCTCCTGCGCGCGTGCTGTATGATGCATGCATGTATGTATGCACACACGCATGTTGGCAAGCATGCACGTGTGTATGTGTGTTCATGTATATGCGCGCGTGAACTGCCATAGAAATCACTTTGCCTGGATGTCCAACCTTGTGCAGCTGCGTGTATCGCAGAGCGTGTTTTTTTGTTCTTTGTTTTTTTGTTTTTTTGTTTTCTGTTTAATTTGTCCTTCGGCTACATGTATACATATATATAGACACATGTATGTATGTGTATCTACATCGATACAATTACTATCTCTGGCTCTCTCTCTCTCCAGGGGCGGACCGGATAGGGGGCTGCTGCGGAGCTAGCGCGCACAGGAGGGCCGAATTTTTGCCGGGCGCGATCCGCGTTAGGACGGTGGTTCCCGTGCGAGCGCGCCCGTCAAGGCCGTAAGCGGAGCTGCGCGTGAAGCTCGATGCGCATGAAGGCGTCGCCAAACAGGGCATGAGGGGCGCCATGCGAAGTTGCTTATAAAGGCCATACGGTAGGGGCGCGCATCAAGAAACCGTCTGCTTTTCGTCAGGGTACCCTGGGTTTCTTCGCTCCTCGCGCTTCGCGATGACTTTCCGCAGCCGTTGAAGGATCTGCGGCGTTCAGGGTGCTCCAGGTTTCCCCGCAGGTGA